AGAAAGGAAAGCTGAGTTTCCTGAACTGAAATATTAAAATCTGTACAGGTTTTAATCTTGCTGCTACTGGGATTTCTTTTCAAAGCAATTCCAATGTGTTTTAAATACTTAGAAGTACGTTTTCAGAAATCAGTCATCTATGGAGGCAGAGATTATTCTGAATATTTTTACTTTGTATAAACATAAGAATCTCCTTCTTGCCCCCCTCTGAAGATGGGTATGGCATTTGTTTTCCTCAGGTTATCAGAAATTTCTGATCACACCAGTCTTTAAAAAATGGTAGTGAGCAGTCTCACAGTGACATCAGCTCCCTCACCAACCTTGGATGTGCCCCTTCTGGTCCCTTGGACTTGTTCATGTCCAATCAGCTTAAGCACTCCCTAATTTTATCTTCCTCTACTTTCTCATGTACGCACCAAAAATGAATTCTTTAGAAAAAAGCCCTAAGCAACCTGACTGTGTACTGCTGAATTAAACTTCTACTATTAGTGTGTATTTTATGACTATAGCAATGATATGAATATTCAAGGACACTGAACTCTTTTCCTTTACTTTCATATAGCATAAGTCTTACGTTAATCAGAAAAATCAAAAGTGAAAATCCTGTTGGTATTGTAAGAAATTAATGGTGGCACAAAATTATTGCACTAAAGTCTGGAAGGTTACACCAACTGAAAATCCAGCATCTAGAAAAAATATTTGTGTATGTGTATAATTATAAATAGAATTGCTTAGTAGTTTGTGAATTCTTGCACTGTAATTATGTTCTTCAGCAGTACCTTTCTGCAATTTTTTGCAGTGGAAAATGAAGTTGAAGCTGAAAGGGTTCTCTTCTCATATGGGTATGGTGCTAATGTTCCTACAACAGCCAAAAGACGATTAAAGCAAAGGTAAAAAAGCACCTCCTGAATTTACTTGTTCAAGTTAAAGTAAATGAAGATAGGTGCATTGTGTTTTGTCTTAGAATCCACCCAGTTTGATTAACATGAAGAGGTTTTTTTAATTACTTAAGTATACAGGAATAGAATGAAGACTGGAACCTGTTAATGTGGTTGACGCATATAAATGAGCACAGACATGTTTTTCTAGGTCATTTTGAGATCTTTTTTCCTTGTCTTTCAGAAAGATGAATTTTAATCGTCTAAAGCTAAACAGCTGTAAAAACACACTAGTTACATTGTTTACATTTATAAAGTCATAAAAAAGTTTTTAATACCCTAAAAATGATTGTGTGTAATTGAAACAAAAACGCCTCTGTCAGGAAATGAAGAAGGCCAAGATTTCAGAGCATCACTATTTCATCTGTAGAAATACAGGATCTGATTCGGGTTATATTTCTTCAGTTTGCTCTGGTACCATTTGTTCAATAGATAAAAATGATGTGTAGTCTGAATAACATACCTCTTAATCATAGTCATTTTTAAATAATAAATTTATATTATGCATTGTCTTTAAGAAATAATAATGACATTTGAATGGCTCATTGTGAGCATGAAGGCTACAACTCACTGTGAAGTATAGGGAATGTGGATGTATTTATAATATTTTTAAACTGTGACCACAGCAAAACTTTTGCTGTTGTTCAAAATATGTATAATAGTATAAAAACAAAACTTAACCTAAGATTGGTATCATGGAATAGTGGGATGGTATAGGTTGGAAGGAATGTCTGGAGGTCAGCAGGGTGTAATACCATGCTCAGAGCAAATCCAATTGTTCAAGAGCTTGTCCAACTAAGTTTTTATTTCTCTGTGGATATAGATTCCACATCCTTCACAATATCAGGTCAGAGTAACATGATTTTATTTTTTTCACTCAGAATCCTGTCTCCAGCCTGGCAGAGGAGACACCACAATTAGGATGGTGGTTCTCCCAAGATTAAACCCATTCCTTGCACTTTGAATGTACCTACACTTTGCTCAAGTGCTGGAAAGTCAACTGCACAATTTATGTTAGTGGTACACGTTAACCATGCTGTGTTCCACCAAAATGAGAAACTCCACCTTCATTGGTAGACACACAAAGAAGAGTAAAAAGATGGGACAAACATGTACCATAACTTCACAGTATACATTTCTAGCGTTCAGAATATGGAAGTGCAGCTTTTGTCATGTATAGCCGTTTTTTGCTACAAGTGTTAGTTGTTTTGTTGTTATTGTCTTCTAACCCCCCACCTTCTCCATTACAAAGAATATTGAACATTGAAAGTTACTGATGAGAATTAAGGGCAAATGATGGTCTGTTCATATTTGCAACAAAGAGTTACGGGCCACACACTATTTCTTCTGTCCTTTATATTTGTTTTTCAAGTAAGTGTTGTTGATTTGAATGCCAATTAGATTAGACCTGTTGTCCACTGACTTAAATATTGCTCACGAAAATCATAAAGATTTTATGTAGTACATAACTTTGGCATGGCTTAATTTGCTCTTACACGTTTTTAAGCCTCTGAAGATTGTTTCCATCTAAGATTTCTTTTTATATTGCATAAAATTCAAGAAGGAAATAAAGGGGGGGGGAGGGAAGGAGGGCAAAAAACTCCATAAACCTGTTGTATGTCTGTTGAGAGTTCTATAGCATCATTTCCTAAAACTTCAGTTCCTTCCTTCTGTGTCAATAGTTTGGAAACTTTTCTGAGTCTCAGCTTAGATTCTGCTTTATCCTCATGTTATTAGATTCAGTTTAGATTATTTACGTATAAAAGAATTCTGCCAAATCACCTTTGAATGATGAATCTGATGATCAGTAAGTCAGGGTTTCAGATGTGCTTACAAGTGGCTCTATCAGAATGCTTCATATACTCCTCTTTTGTTCCAAAAGTCATTGGCAGATAAAGCTGATTCAGTCCTTCATAATGATATTGGAGACTTCTTAGATTTTCTTTATCTTTTAAAATTAAGAACATTTAAGAAGCCATAAAAGTCTGTGTATGGTTTACCTGTTGGTGTTCTGTATCAAGTAAAACTGCCAGGCAGAAAATGTGCATGATGCCCTTGGCTCCGTAAGCTTTAAAGCAAAGTCTCTATGACACCAACTGCTATGTTTAGAGACATTAAAGAAACACAGATAAGTTTTGTGCTCTGTGGGATTGCTTAAGGAAAGAGAATCTATTACAAATATGAGTAATTTTCTTTTTGGAGTCCACTACCTGCTATTTAATTCTGGACATACGGGATCCTAAATGAAGAGCTCTTCTAAGTTCACAGCATGCACTTCAGTCTATGAAACTTTGTAAAAAAACACCTATTCAAGCACAGTGCGTGCTGGGGTCTATACCTCTTTGCCCACTTGCCAGAAACAACTGTTGCATTACTTTGGACATAGGCACCGTACACTAGTAAATTAAACATGCCTGGGAACATTATGAAGCATCGAGACCGAATGGCGTGTGGTAGCCCACTTCCATAAAGCTAGACACTCAGTGTAGGTTAGCTGGGTGTGAACTGCATATTGTCAGTGATTGCTTGCCCACGCTAACTTTTCAGCTATGCCTAGGAACTGTTTCAGAGAACGTTAGTGAGTAAATGCCAGAATACTACCAGGAACACTCTAGTGATTTGCTAACAATAAACTATCACATTCTTGAGCACTGCATGATTTTCTAGTATAGTTGGAATCAAAGTTTTCCAGAATAAGATGTTTTTGCAGATTAATCCCTTTGTCCCTTTGCTTTAAACTAGTCAAAAAACATATTGACAAGCATACTTCAAAGACATACTTGTGTTTATCCTTAAATACTTGCAAATTCAGGTCAAGTTCACCAAATAGTTGCAGCTGGGAAAATTATGATGGGCTGCATTCCCAAAGTTGCCATGGGAAGGTATCCATGTTTCCCCTTGGACTTTAATAGCTGATGTATAAGATCCCTGACTAGAGGTATCAGAGAAGTAGTTCATTTCTCTTTTGTACTAGATGGGACCTTAACACACACCTCATATCTCCTAAATAAAAATCCAAATAACTAGTTTGGAGAATTAATTTCTCTTTTTCTCAGTTATTGTTTACAAAGTCTGATGCTCCTTGTAGAAGGAACTGAACCTCTTAGTGAATGCTGTTGAGAATTTCAGGTAATTCCTCTCATACAAGGTGGAAGTAAAAAGATTGTCTGTATGAACAGGTAGGTTTATAACACAGGTGAAAAGTAATAAGACTTCTGCCAAGTCTAAAAGTGCATTCCCTTTTACCGAGGAGAAGGTGGAGGCTATGACTGGTCAAATTTTCAGAGAAAGTTTGTATGCTCATCTAGCTTTACACACTCTAAGCCTCAGTTTCAGGGTAAATATAATCTCCCTGTTGGTCTGCTTTAGACTGGTTACACTCTTGTATATTCAGTATCACGGTCAAGAACTGGATAAGACTTTGCTATCCGTTATTTGGAGACGAACAGTCTTACATTTTCGGTAAGCATTGAGAGTGTAAGAACTGAACTGGCGTGACTTCTCCCTTTCTTAAATACACAGGTTTCTGAAAAATGACACGTTTGCCTGGAAGGATAGGTTGTTGTGGAGAGCAAATAGTCCAGTGGTTAAGGCACACTGAAAAGGGATATTAGCCCTGTGTATCTTCCTCATTTTTAGAGCTCTGAATTTTCCATGTCTTCTTGTGAAATAGATTAGTGACTAGACTACCTAAACACAGAGGGGTATAGTGGTGAATTCTGTAGGTACAATTCTTATAAGAAGCCACCAAGCTACGGAATCTTACAAAGATGGTAAGATTCATTACAGGGTGCATAAATTTAGACATGTAATCAAAGGTTTAACACCACGACTTGGCATCTGACCTCCCATTATAACCAATTTAGTTCTAATCAATGCGGTCAATGGAGTTTGGAGTACATTTCAGTTCACCATCCAGGAGTCCATTTTAGCAGAATATAGTCAGGCTTTCCAGACTATATTGAATAGGACTAAATGATTAATAAGAACTTCAAAGACTAGGTTAGATGTCTGGAAGTAGGGTCTGCAATTGCATACAGAATCTTCCCATTGCTGCCTATGGAACTATGCTGTTGAATTGATGATAAACTCTTTTGACTTGGGCATGAAACATGCAAGAGGTTGAGGATCTAATTTTTTAACTAGGGTGTTTAAGTAACTCGGTAATCCTTTCTCTTTACTTCTAAGTTAATTTGTGGATCTGTGTAAGAATTTATTTTAAAAAATAGTGGCAATAACATTTAATTATTTAGCATATTGAATGTTAGACAAAACAATGTTTTGAAAATGATAAAATACTGCATTTTTCAGAGTGCCACTACAAAATGTATATTAATGTGCATTTTTTTGAAAAACGATTTAAGGAGAAGCCAATTAGAGTGATTCCGAAAGTTGCTAAAAAATGAATACTCACAATTAGTTGAAATGTTTGGACATGATTACTGCAATTGTGTAGTATTGTGCAAATTATATAGGCAATTACTTTGTAAAAAATATTGCAGTGGCGTAAGTATGGGAATGCTATTTCAGTGCTGTCAAATTTTGTAATATTTTTATTGTTTTTCTAACTTTGAGCATTCTGCGTGTTTCACTATGTAGTTTATGTGTATTAGCATTTAAGCATTGGTGAAAAATGAAAGCAATCAAGTTCTGAAGTATAAATGTGAGAATTTCTTTTGCATATTTTGGGTAAAAAAATCAACTTGAGCTTGCTTTTCATTGGCACAGTGTTCACTTGGCAAGGAGGTTGCTGCAGCTAGAAAAGCAAAACTCGTTGCTTGTAAAAGATCTGGAACATCAGAAGGAACAAGTAACACAGATTTCACAAGAGGTAAATTACTGCTACAAAAACTCAAATCTGTAGAGGCTATAAACATTGCAGAACAGCTGTTCATAAAATGAAATATTTTCTCAACAGTGTTTATTATCTATTTGATGTCAAAAAAGGGCCTCATAATTAGCCAAAACTCTATGTTAAACGTTTTCAAAGAAGTTTATACTGTAGTTAGAAATGAAGATCAAAAGAGGGATTACTTTACAGGCTAAACAAGAATGTAAGCCAGACAGACAACGTTCTGATTTCTGAACAGAAGACCAGCTAGCCAAACTAGTTTGTTCTGTTTGATAGTTAATTGTTCAATGAATACCTCATTACTTTTTACAAAGCTCCTCTCTTAAATCACTTTTGAAGATATTTCTGTGAACCCTTTTCTACATTGTTCAGTTCTTGAGTCTTTTGAATATACAAATCTAGGGAATGTTTAACATAAGCTGCTTTTTAAAAAAGCTACATTTTTTTTTACTTTGTTACAGTAAGTTTAATTTCATAATCTTTTAAAATTCTGTATATAATACCTGAAATCACATATTACATTGACATGGAGAACAAGCACTAAACAACACTCAGCTTGAAATCTCCCAGAATTAGGGCGAATGATTTTTTTTTTTTTAAATAGAGTTAATATTGTCTTCCAAGTTTCTCTCAGGAACCAAAGAAATTCTAGATTTGCTATTAGATATTGCCATCATATGGAATTTCTAGGCTGACTTTCAGGAATGTGGTTAACAGTTTGATTTTTAAAGCCATGGTAATTATAAATTAGGATAACAACACCCAAGTACTTCACAGTGCAAATACTTGCATTTTCTACATATTTTAAAATTACATTTATTTTATGTATTTTATATGTGTATGTATATGATTATATATATTATTTCGATGAAAGATACATTAAGTTTTTGTAGAGTTCTTTTTTAACCAATACTACATTTTATTATGGATTCTTCTTAGGTACATCCTAGTAATTTGTATATGACTGAAACATGCCTTTCAAATCTTGAAGAAATCAAGAGATTTGTGAATCCAATGTTATTGGTGTTTTTCTCTGTCACTGTTCTTTCACTATGACTAATATAATCTATGCTTTATTTACTTTATTAAATATGTCTGGTTTCCACTTCAGTACATTTCCTCTTACTGACAGTGGTTTAATATTTGCTTCTAGATCACTGATGAAAGATTCAGTACCAGTGGCCTTAGTTCAAATTCGTGCAAAATTCCAGTAGAAAATCTTTGTCTCATTTTTAGTCTCCCATGATATTTTATCATATAATTGTATAGTTTAAATCAGAATGTCATCCAGTACGAAGTTAAATGTCTTGCAAACTCAGCTACTAAGCCTATTAACATAAAACTCATACGGTTAAATGCAATCTTTTAAGACCTGGTTTCTGTTAAAATCATGTCTGGCATTCAGGTCTGAATGCTTCATCAGATTTCTTTCTTCCTTTTTTTTTATTTTGCATATGATTATAGGCCATTTTGTTTGATAACAATTACTTAAGGCATTCTGGCTTGACATCCTTGAATGTGTGCACAAAGAGTTTACAGTTGCTGTTAATGGACTGGAAAATAGTTAGTCATTCTCATGTTATACAAACTGATCATCTGACTTCTTTTCAAACAGAAGGCAAAAAATTTTACTGAAAACTTCTGGATTTTCTTCAGCATTATATACAGTATCTACTGTATAATGGGTTGTACTGTTTCTAGGATTTATTTACTCCCATTTTTTCATTCTAAGAATTCTATGCGTGCTACTATCAACTTTCCCCTTGAAGTTGTAGCTTCTCTTCAAAATTTTCTGTATTTCATATTTTATACTGATTGCTATCTTTTATCTTTCTTTATATAGTTAAAGTTCTTAAACTTCTGTTTGCTGTCTTTGCTGCATCCCCTGAGCTAAGATTTTTATTCCAAGCTATTTTTTTTCTTGATTTTTTTTTATTTAAAGACCAAAACAGAGATCCTGTAGAGTTCAGCATGCTCAGGTAGCCTATTATTATTTTGATTGACATTTTGTTCAGTCATCTAGATGAAATCTAGAACGTGGATTGAAAGTTGATGCCAAAGTGATTGGACTAACTTTTCTTTTGAATTTGGATTAAATACTACTATTTTACTGCAGTATTTATGATACAACTTTTTTTTAAAGCTCTTTAAAGGAGGGAGGAAAAGAAAAAGATTGCAATAACTACAGTGGATGCTCTTTCTAAGATTCTTTTTTTGGATTGTCCTCAACCAATTGCTATTGAACTTTGTAGAAAGGAATCATACTGATCTTCTGGGAAAGTCCAGCACTACTAAGAAGAAAATACTGACTTCTCCATAATTTCATTCATTTGATGGAAGTCTCATATAAAGTGCCTGCTTGAAATTCGGAACCTTATGGAAAAGCTCAGCTGCGGAAAAAAATTTGTCAGTCTTCAGTTAGTCCCATTATAGTTTGTCAGACTTTAAGTGCAAGATTCTATCTATTTTCAGGTCTGTGATACAGCATTAGAAAAGCATTTTTCCTTAGAGTACTCATTCTGTTGCTTCATACAGCAATGACCTCCAATGTTAAAGAAGGTGTTGAGACTTACTTCATGCTACAGGAAGTTTGTTGACCATGTCTAGGACAAACAGAATAAAGGAATTCTCATGACCTCAGCTAGTAATAATCAGTTTATTGCTTCTGCAACTCATTTCATGTTACTCCCAGTTTAAGTAAGTGGAAGGCTATATATCAGCTTCTGCAAATAGTGATCTGCAATTAATACGTTCAGTGTCCAATCTAAATTTTGGAATAAATTCACTTTGCAGAGGTTTTGAACAACAGTGCCAGAACTGATGATTAGACAGTCTCGTGTGTCTAGAAGGCTCATATTGTCTTTGGGTGACTTAAAAAGCAAATACTGAGTCAATGTACAGTAACAGTGATATCCTAAATAAAGAAATTTACTAAGCTGATATATTTGGCTTGCTGCTGAATGGCTTTTTCATGCCTTAATTATGACATTATATTTGTGCTTTTTATGTGCCTTGAGTGAAACATTTCTACCAAGTGCAGGTTTACATCTCACACTGAAAGAGTATAGATCAAGCTGAACAATGATGAAATCCTTCAGCTTGATAGAGATGTCCATTCAGGGATAAATAATAAATGTCCAATTGCAAGGTATTAGATTTGTTGCTTAAAAGAATGACACAGAAATACTTAAGTAAATCTTGTACATTAAGGCAGAAAGAAATCAGTTGCTTACACAAAATTATGCTTTTGCTCGTGGATAATGCTTAATTTATATACACGTGTGTATTAGTAAAATTGATCCATTAAATGCATTTAATGCTTGATTAATTACAGTTTAATGACAGCCTCTTGCAAGTTTATAGAATCAAACAGGCACCACCATGGAGAGGGAAAGGATAGCCTTTTTTGTAACAGTAGCATGCTTTTTAGCTCGTGTCATGGTTTAACCCCAGCCGGCAACTAAGCCCCAGACAGCCGCTTGCTCACTCCCCTCCCCTCCCCGCTGTGGGATGGGGAGGAGGATGGAAAAAAGTAAAAACTCATGGGCTGAGGTAAAGACAGTTTAATAGCAAAGCAAAGGAAGAGATAATAAAAATCAGTCAATAAATAAGTGATGCACAAATGCAATTGCTCAGCACCTGGTGAACAATACCCAGCCCATCCCTGAGCAGCGATCGCTGCCCCCCAGCCAACTCCCCCAGCTTGTATACTGAGCATGACATCATCGGAAATAGAATATCCCTTTGGCCAGTTTGGGTCAGCTGCCCTAGCTGTGTCCCCTCCCAGCTTCCTATGCACCTGGCAGGCCAGGCCAGCATCAGAAGCTGAAAAATCCTTGACTGCGTAGAAGCTACTGAAAACACCGGTATGTCTTCGACATTATTTTCATCCCACCTCCAAAACACAGCACTACACCAGCTACCAGAAAGAGAATTAACTCTATCCCAGCTGAAACCAGGACGGCTGGTAAAGTTAGCAAGTTAACAGATGATGTAGCAGCATCAAACCAAGTTTACAATACCTCACTTGTCTTTTCCCACTGAAGTACTTTAATCCTTATCAGGGAGAACAGTGAGGAACTTTACACTGTGATGACAGCATCCTTTGGAAGTTCTTAGGCTATCGAGAGCAGGATCCCAGACAATATCAGTTGAACTAATTTTGTCCTGTAACGGCAGCCTCGAGGTTTTATACTGCAATTTTTAGACCATCCTAGAGATTAGTACTCCATGTCTTGGAATTACCTGTTTTTCATGTAATGACTTTCTGTTGTCTTCCTGAAAGAGATCTTTTTTGATAGCTTGTACTCTTAGAAATATAATAGCTTTTTAATTGCTTATAAACTTATTGAAGATAATTAGTTTCTTCAGGAAGATTGCCTTTTTTTTTTTACGTCTCTACAATAAACTTGGAATTTCACTGTGGACTACAATAGGTGTTTCCTGAATTACCTGATGGTATTTAAATAATACTTAAGCATTTGCATTAATTTGAAGCAGTGCAATGTTGTTGTCTCTCATTTCACTTTTTAAAACATGAGGTGGAGTTAACCCCCCTTCTAGTAAGGCCAGTAAGGTGAGTAAGCAAAGTTTTGTCTATATTCCGTTTTTTAATAAATGTGAACCATTACATTATAAGTTCTGAGCGCATTTGACAGAGTATAGAGGGAAGAAGTAAAACTGCAATAAAAATATAATAGAATCAGAGAAAGAAGGAAACACAGTCTCATGTTTTGAAAATTGTGAATAGGCTTGTGGCAGGATTTTAGGAAAGTGCTGAAATATTATTTAAATAGGCTAGGTCTATAGGAAGGGGGTTTTTTTCCCCTGCTTGTATGGAACAGCGCGAAACAGGACAAGTGGCTCCTGAATCTAATTTGGCAAATGCAGATTGTTTAATCTATTCAGAAATTTTATAAACTAATTGGAAAGCTTAACCATTTTCCATTTAATTCATTCCATTAGACCTGACTGTATCTGAACTTTAAAAGATTTTATTTTTTGAAGAATCTGGTTGGTGTTCTTGACTTATATGTACTCCAGCTGCCGAAACTGCTAAATCTTGATGTGAGATCTTAATTCTGTACGTATTTTAGTGAATGATCTTGTTATATTGCTCAAGATGCAGGTCATATCATGCAAACTTTTTACACCTAGTGTTCCTAATTTGTTCAGGGAGTATGGCTAGGAAGGTTTATTTCCTACGTATGGGTATGACAATTATTTTATACTACTCTTGTAAACATCCTGTTGGATTTCACTGTTCATATAGAGTAATTGATTAGAGGAAAGGGGACTTTTCTTCCGTTATTACTGTGTTTTTATTTAGATTCAATTCCTGAACTGAAAATCCCATTGTAATAGTATGCTGTTTTAAAAAAGTCACTTGTGGTCAATAGGGTAAACAAACAGAGGCCTTGTCTATACTAATTCTTTTTCATCAATGGAAACTATTGCATTAAAACTCTTGAAAATGCAGATTAGGGAAGTATGGAGAGCAGTAGCATCATTGAAGTGAAAACGTCATACAATCAGAACAGGAAAGTGAGAGGATAATGTATAAGAGTAATTTGAGAGTAGTCGATTTCTTTTTTTGTGAAGTAACAATTTTGGTGTATATATTATGCAATTGGTAATAATAATATTCAATAATTCAATAATAGTGAAGTAATTGTTCTTTATACATTATAAAATTTGTAATGATAATACTTCTTTTTTTGGCAGCTTGACAGAGCAAACTCTTTGTTGAGTCAAGTACAACAGCCATACAAATACCTCATTGAAACTGTGCAGCAGAGAGATTCTCAAATAAGTCTACAGAAAGAACATATTGCACAACTTGAAAAAGATATCAGGTAACTAAAATCACTGTTTCTTTATTTTAAACTGAAAGTAAAATCACTTATGTGTTTATCGTTAGAAAACAATTAAGTTATTGGCCATAAAGTAGGAGATGTTGACACTTCATCATTGACTAAGTCCAGTCTTTATGCTGGAACTTCAGCATCTGAGATTTCTCTCATATTGTCAGGAATAAAAGAAACTTAAATTTTGGAAAACCAGCAATGACAGTGAGGTTTAAAGTGCGTTTAGAGTTGAGAAGAGCTCTCATGAAGTAGAGGAAAGTTCAGCAAAGGAAAGAATGAAATAATAGACTAGTCCACCAGCAAAGGGTATTTTGAGAATAACTGGAGCAGACTTCCTCTAGTGGAGGCTCTCTGATTTGCTGTTATATCCGGCTGTCAGAACTCTCTGACCACTGAGCAACTTTCCACCATCACAGGGCTTAATAAACTATGTTTAACATCTGGTTCCCAAGTAAGCTGTTATAAAATAATCTGCCCCTTGATTTTCAAGAAAGTGGATAGCTGTGTGCTACTGCAGTGCAGAAGAATTAGCATTTTAACAATCAGGTGTTTATGTGGTATCTTTGTTTAAGAAACGCATATGGTTTACAATTATAAATCACCAATGTGATTGTATTATCAAGCAATTACGTGAAAAATACATTTATTTTCCAACAAATCTGCTGAAGCAATGAAAATAGAAAAAGTAGGAATCACCACAGCTAAATACTACTATCCGACATCCTGTCTTACATATGTGTTTATTCAGAGTGTTTTGATGGTTTAGGATAGTAATTTTTCTGCCTTGAGGAATAAGTGCTAGAAGTGCTTATTATGCAAGTAAATCCATACATAAATCAATACATTTATAAATAAACTGAAATATTCATTCATGCTTCCTGACAAAATATCTTTCACTGAGCTTAACTTTGTTTCAGTAAGAACAGATCTTTTTTTATTCCAGAATCAAGTGTTTTTAATATTTTCCTAGAGTTGATATATTATAAGAAAAACTTCAAAGGTAAATTATATTTTTCCAGGAGATGAAAAATCACAATGTTCTCTATATAGGCAGGATCTTACCTTCCAATTGTGAAGAAAGTCATCAAAGAATTGATCAGTAGCAAATTAAATTTTCAGATTACAGTGACATGAAAATGTCTTTCATTTTTCACATAGCTGTCCAAAAGTCTATCAAAAGCTAGGAAAAAAAGAGAGTAGATAGGTAAAGTCATTTCTGAAAGTGTATGTTTCGTGCCATTAAAATATATAAGAGCTTAAATACATTATTAACATTGATTCTCTGGATTTTTTATGGCTCATTACAAATAATCTGTATGCCCAGATATTCTTCCTAAATTTAGTGTACAAATTAAGGCACCTAAATTAGGAACTTAGTCATGTCAGCTTTCCTTAGTAGTTCATGGAGGAAGTGGCATCTCCAAAAAGCAATTCAGATTTTGGATGGAGTGAGTCATTTGCTAGAGATGCCTGTTACTCTCTATTAACTTTAAAAGGAATTTTTGGCATCTTAAAGTGCCTGAGGTTAAGGAAGAAAATGGATCTGCACCACAGTGCAAGCATTCATGGCAAACATACCAGCAGTACTCTGCTGTGGTGAGCTGGGGTGTGCTCACCACTAGTCTGTGTTTCTGTAAATGAAAGTGTGGTCTGACAAAAAAGTATTTTTATCCTTAATGGCTTTGTAGCAAAAAAGTAACACTTACTTTGCACATCAAATGTTTTGGTAAGAAGTTTTTTCCTGTAGTTTCCAATATTCCTTGTAAACTAAAAATTATTTGCCACAGTTTTGCCTCAACTTTGCCATAGTTTCATAGGCCAGTGAAATTCTTGAAAACAGCCTAATGTCTTAGGGCTTTTGGTACTATCAGTAGTCCCTAATTTTGATAGTCGTAACTCCACATTTAAAACAGATCTCCTGAATCGTTGGCGGATATTCCCTGGAGCACAGGGGAAAGTATAATCTGGTATAAAATTGATAATGTTTGTCCTTTGCTTTCTCGTAAGTGAGAGGAAGGTTAGAGGAAGGGATTTCTAACCAGAGAACCATTACATTCCAGCAATCTTTTGTCATGAGGATAGCCTTTTGGAATCTGCTGATGACAGTTTTAAATTAAAATATCCTTTAGGTGATTTCAGATTACTTTGTGGACTCATCTAGCTCCCAGCTATTCCAGAACTGCATCAGAATGGGATTTAAGTAAATTAATGATAATCCCTGCCAAATATATGCCAAGTGAAGCTCTGCTGGATCAAAAGATTTAGCCCACTATTCCTATCCGTCTTTCTTAGTTTATTAAACAGCATTTTCTTTGTTTGTCTGTGGAATATTTTTGAGATGATGAATTCAGAGAATTAGTGCTTCTCAAGGAGGACCCTAAATTCTGCAGATAATGTGGGGCTATTAGAAAAGTAATAGTGAAAACTATTAGGAAACTATTAGAAAAGTAATAGTGAAAACATGAAACATGGTTTATGAAGCCTGGTTTCTCTGTGTCTCAGAGCTAAGGGGAAAAATTTAATATTTGTAAAGCCATACCAAAATTAATTTTTTTTTTCAACCATTACCTATAATTAACAGTTAATACTACAGTTCTGCAGTAGCCTTCTTAAGTGGAGGTTTAATTTATGCTACAGTTACGCAAAGTATACTCTTATTTTTTTTAATTTTACGTACAGTAGTATGTGCTTTAGTTTTATTTCTAGAAAGCAATTTCACAAATACAAGCTAACAGAAAAATAATGTTCAAATTCTTGTTTTCAGACAGACCTTTAAAAATACTAGCGATTTTTTAAATATAATTTTTTTAAAACCTCCTATTTGAATGCCAGACTGTAGACAAATTAACATAATGTTGATAAGCCTGCACCCTGACAATCAAGACTAAAACTTAGTTTTATCCTCACAGCTACCCTGTGTTTGATAATGCTTTTCCTTGCTTCGTGTTTAGTGTGCAGAATCTATGGTGGAGGAGTGTTCTTTCCAGGTTGTATTTTTATCTCATGTGCTCGTCAAGAGAGATGGTTCTGCATTACATAAATCATGGATTCCCTAAGTAGAGCAGTCACATCTGTGTTATCAGTGCCAATGTTCTCTATCACCTCTCACTTAACTTGAGTGTGGAGGGATCAGCAAGGACTAATTTGCAAGTGAATTTACTTTTTTAGACTTAATCCATAATTGGCTTCTATGCGCAGTGATGACAGCCAATAATCTTTTTAGAAGGTACTCCTAGGGTGGTTAGGTTTCAGCAGATTTCCCAGGATGATGAGTCAATACTTTCTTGCAACCTTGTAAATGTTTTGCCGCAACCTGCAGTGCTTTGTATTTGCTTGTCTGTTGAGAAGGCTGTTGGTTGCTGTTGGATGTAGTTTTGATTCTGTGGTGAAATCAGCACAAGAGAAAGGCAATATGAGGAAGGCTGTCTATGACAGCAATCTCCTTAGTTTGGGCTGTGGGTGTTCTTGGGCCATATTTTTACCAATTTTTTGCAAAATGGCCTAAAGTGACTTATAATGTCGTCCCTTGACAGGCAACGTGAAGGCTTGACGTGCTCAGGATTCTCCACACTGCATCATTCTGTGAAAGTGTCATTTCTGACAGCAGTTATTTCCACAAGAGAAGTGGGGCAGATGCAGGCAGACCATTTTATTATAATACTCTTGAGAAGTCCTGCAGATCTGCCTAAGTTTCCTTCCAACGTGATATTCAGTGTTCACTTTAACCAGAACAGCTCACATGCCTTTATCCTTAGGTGCCATACCTCTAGACCTCAGGCTGTCTTTCAGACCTTCTCTATCAAAATGTCTTCCTCACTTGGAAGGACTATTTAAATAGTAGTCAAGGTTCCTTGTGTCAATAGCTGTCAAACTGAATCATAGAATGGTTTGGTTTGGAAGGAACCTTTAAAGATCAGCTAGGTCCAGCCCCTCTGCCATGCATAAGGACATCTTCCACCGGATTAGGTTGCTCAAAGCCCCGTCCAACCTCTGCTTGAAAGGAAAGGAGTAGGCAAAATAGGTACCAGACTGAATCAAGGCCTTAAAGTAGTATATTCCACCAGAGCTGGAGCTACTTTGATGGCTTGCTGAGAAGCGTGTCTGTTCTGGACACCTTTCACACAGTTGTGTTGATCTTTAGCCATACCATCACTAAGAACTGCCAGACCTGTTATGGTTGGGGTAAATGCTTAGCTGAGCAGCTGTCATTGCTGTTAGTTATTTGCATGAACAACTTACGGACCCATCTCCAGGTTATTACAGGTGTGTGACATTACTGCTTAGATTCAAGTATGAAGACGCAAGGGTATTACCACTCAAAGATGAAAGGAGAGGTTGTTTAGGGGTAGTCGAAGCTCTGTCAGATGTTGCCCACACGTATGTTCACTACCACTCTGCTTGCCATCCACTTAGAATTCTCCCAGGCAGGCCATGGGCTGTGCTGGCACTTGGCCATGGAGAGAACCAGGGTGGCCCTGGGAGCAGAACACCTCATGTGCATGTGCACTGAGCCACACACCTGCAGATACACTTCAGATAGAAAACCTCTGGTCTTGAGTGACAGGGCATCTGCAGGGTGAATTTATAGGTGGTCTGCATATCTCAAAATATTCTGTTAAGTAACCTCTCGTTTATGTTAGTCCACATAGCACTCTTGTTAATAAAAGTAAATAGCGATGGTTAATAAGAGCAGTGGTATGTATGATGATGACTCCTTCCTACTATAACGAAATATCTCTAGCATACAGTTCTTTAACCAGAAATGAAAACATCACGTTTAGCACTCCTTTTGAAAAGAAATGCCTTGTAACTATGTCATGCTGTGGGAAAACAAATCTCTGAATTTCATTCTTACATGTGTAGTGAAGTAATTGTAGTTTTAGTACATAATTTTCTGCTAAAAACATCTAGGTTTATAAATAACTGGAGACATTAAACAGGACTTTATTCATAAAGAGAGGGTATTTATTTTAAATGCAGTTACTCAA